GTTTTCCCCAATCAGGTATCTCCCACCAGCGGAGCACCGCCTTAGCCGGGGAAAGCACTTAACTCCCGACCGGTCTCCAGACATGTGTGGTAGTGTAGTGCATGTTAGTGTAAATGTGTACCGGGTTGAGGATAGGGCAAGGAAGAGGAAGGGGAGATCATGTGCGGTCCATTTCCCGTTTATTAGGGTACTGCTTCGGCATTCTATTGGTGTTGATCTGAGAAACCACTGAAAACTATCGATCATAGCAGCCGCGACCTAGAAGCTCGTGGTCAGAGGCACTGTAGTGACATCTGTTGATGCTCTGAATCATTTCTGCTGATCCTTAACAGTTGAAGGGGTCCTTAAACCCATTAATATGAATAAAGTTAAACATTACAGTGTTAAACATTAAAACTAATGTTTATCTTTACGTACGATGTTATAAAGATAAAACAATGTTGTCTTTTGCATTGCAGTTTTATTGCTTTATACACCGCAGTTTTGAAAACTGCATTGCTCTAATAGTTCTAAAATTAATAAGTGAATTAAAACAATTAAAAATCTCAACAAAATCTTGGTAAGTTGTAATGCAAACACTCTTACTTCATGTGTAATAGGTTTATTATTTTAGTTTTCAATAATTTAAAGTAAAATTATTCCTGGAAAATTGCGTTATTTTATTGTTTACAAATTCATACGAAGCACACAGTTGAGTCTCCTTAGATGGCTTCAGACTACTGCGCGTTGCCATAGCAACTTTTTGCTAGATCCTTTGAGAAACCAGTTTAGTTGAGACAGAGGCGATGGTTTTTCGTTGACGATAAAGAAACAAATATGAAACGAAATATATTCAAGAATTTTAGATTCTAAATCCAACCCTAGTGGCCAAGTCAGTTATGACCGCGAACTAACTGTGCCTAATTAAGGGTCGTGGTTTGAAATCTCGCTCAATACAAGACTGTCTTCCCCTACTTGATTGTAGGTGTGAAAGGCAGAGATTTTTTTGTCAGATATTCTACAGAGAAATATCTTCATTTGCAGCAGACGACATAATTCCTCTGAAATCGTTTTTAATGAGTAATTTAAAGCAAGATAAGAGGTGTTCTTTTCTGAATAGTCACTCATTAGAGTATTCTTTTCGAAAAGGCCTTAATTTCGTACATTAAGGAGTTACTAGGCGGGATGAATCCTCTCGTTGGTTAAGAGAGGAAAAGCTCTTAAGAGGGCTACAATCATCTGCGGAGAACAGGTTTATAAGGTTCATATTTGCCCGATTTCATTGTAGCTAATTTTCATTTGGGGGCTATGAACATAGTTGTACCTTCTTTATGTACACCTGAGGCGCTGGTAAGAAAGGAGCTCTGAGATTGCGATGCTTATAAAATTCTATAGCATTTTGAGATGAAATAGGCGTGACGTTGCACGCGTAATGTCATGAATGAACTGGATCTCTAGGGCAGAATTGGCGTGCTGCATGCGCTTTAAATAACACTTTTGATTTTGTGAATGAGAAATGTGAAAAGAAAAAGGGTAACGTAAAAATTTTGAACGCAGCTTCTTAGAATGCAAATTAAAACAGTTTATTTTCTTTCCTCCGTAGAGCCTGAATGTCATCTCAATAATTCTTTCCCTCTAGCACTCACCTAATTCTGTTCGTCATTAACCATTTTCCTAGTGTTACATACACATGATAAAATATTGATAATTAATATTGGAATAGGTACTGTTGAAGTTTAATCTGGAAATAGATTAATTCACATTCAAATCTTTTCAAAAAGCGCCAAAATAATCTAAATGAAACTAATGCTCCAATAGTTTTAATATCTACATTTCTTTACGATATTTAATCACTATTGTAACAATGGACAAAAAATTGTAATGAATTATAGAAATATATTTGAAAATTTAATTAAATTGCGTTTATTGATTTTTTTGAAATTGCTGACTAAATGAATACGAACTGTTCTGATGTAACCAACATTGTCTCCGATTCCTTCAATATTTTCTCATACATGTCTAATACATGTAGTACATGTCTTACTCTTCTAAACATGAGACAGTAAGCAAATGATAGAAAAGAGACAGATTGAAAGAGAATATTTGCGTAAACTTATATAACAATTATTTTATTTACTTGGAATTTCCCATTTTAGATTTTTAGATCAGAATTATTTTAAGTTCCAAATACCGAAACTCTGAAAATTTTATAGTGAAGCATGAATTTTGTGCATGCTCTTGGGAATACGCAAAGGTCAGGCTAAAAATCAGTGGTGTTGCATGGATTTTTGTAGTCGAATCAGTTTTGAACTGAGTTGATTACAAAATCTAAAAACAAATAGTGGGACATAAAAATAGAATAACTTTTATGGCTCATCGGCATCACCTATGTTCTTTCTGCAACGTTATGCCAAAGAGTAGACTTAGAAATGGTGGTGAGTAGCCTAAGAATGACCTACATTATGAATGACTTGCTCACAGTGTTCCGTGTGTAGTAAAACTGTGATGTAACTTCAACTAATTGGATGTCAAGAAACTTTATGGTTTGTAATATTTCCCACTGCTCTTATAACAGTTGCAGAGTGGAATCCGCAATAGTAGTTGATTTGCTCTCACGCATCTTGAGTGTTGTCTAACGCGGAAATCTCGTTGAGTGCCGACTCCCGACTCATTTACAGTGAAGAGATGCAGTTGTGCTAATGATGAGTATTGTTCGCAAGCCGGATTTATAGCGAAAACAAACTGACTATAGCGAAAACAAACTGACTTTTTTGAATATATGAGCAATTCCGTTAAACATGTATTTACTAATAGTAGAAAACGTTTTGTTATTACTTAATTATGTACGAAAACAGAGAAACATCTACATACTGAACATAGAAAACTAACTGATGGACGTTTTTTAAACAAATGACCAATTACGTTAGACGTGTAATTACCTCTAGTAGAAAACATTTTGTTTTTATTTAATTAAATACAGAAACAGAGAAACACCTACATATTGAACATAGATTTTCTTGGAAATGGGTACAACTTAAATACAAGACACAGGTAATATACTAAGTAGTACCGTATGATATATCATCCGTTTCTGGGAAGAGATGTAGTGAATAGGAAGACGGCAATATCCGCGGTGAGCCCAAGTGGAATAGTTTTAATATCACAACGATTCTTTATTTTAGTAGTCAATCACAGATCTCCCTTCAATAATCCTTAATCAATGTACTTACACACTGCAATAAAAGAAAGGGACCTCATATTCTCTTTCAAGGTGTTTGCTCAATCGATATTCCTGCTCGGTGTAAGTAATGTCTTGTGTGAACATTCATTTAAATCAGCTTATTTTATATGAATAACGTAAAGTCACAAATTAAAAGTATTCTTGTATAATTTTTTGTAAAACGTTTTTAGGTATCACATCCATAGGAATGTGTCAAATTTATCCAAGAAAATAATACGATCGAGTAACGAATTCAGCCTCGAATTCTCCTTTCGCGTTGAACTTTCTCCAGAAAACTGGACCAATCCTGCGCGGGAGGTGAA